CGGTGGGACTATATAAAAAAGATGACCTTGGATACCATACGCTTCTCTAATCTCTCATCAAGTTGGCTGTCGCATAAAAGGAAAGAGTATATTTAAAAGAGGTCAGTCAGAGATCAGAAGAAAGAGCAAAACATAAGAGAGAGAAAGAAAAAAAAAAAGAGAGAGAGAGAGAGAGTGAGCAGCCAGCAATCATGCATGAATGCGTCAATATATAAATGCATTAATGTGGAGACGCGTGGATGTGCGAGCAGGCCAGGCCAATAAGGCCAATAAAAACTGACAAGATAAGAAGAGATGAGATATGAGAAGGGAAGAGGGAGCTCGACTGTGACCGGGCCCCACTGCGGGCACGCGGAGGCGGGAGCGGGAGCACGCACGGGCGGCCAATCAGGGACGGAGAAAATCGGACGGGGGCGCGTCGGACCACGCACTATGTATAACTTGGATAGTTTAACCCTAACCCTATAACCTTCAACGGGCATGTCCAGCGGGTTTGACTTTTAAATGGTTTCATCCCACTGGTTTGGGTCCAACGGGTTAACGGGTTCGTTCAACGGGTTCGACCCCTGAACACCCCTCACTCTAACCCTGACTCTGACCACCTCATCCTCCCCCCCAGCCTCTACCCTCACTCTTTGTAACCCTAACCCTGGCCCATTATTGTATGGGATAATGCTCTTTAAAACTCCAATATTTTTGAACCCCCCCCTCTACCTTCTGATATAATCGTCCAGCGTGCTCGACTTCCAACAGGTTGATGGGTTCATCCAACGGGTTCGGGTCCAATGGGTGAATGGGCTCCTTGGACGGGTTTGACGTCCAACGGCTTTGGGTCCAGCGTGTTCGACTAATGTTTGTTTTTCTGTGCTTAAAATCACTCCAGAATGAAGCCTTTCATTTTTTTTATATATTTTGCTATTTTAATTTACTTTGTTGATCTTGCACCGCTTTGCGCCGCTCCGTTGCCTGGGGTGAAAATATAGATATTTAGTTGGGTCTGGTTGGGTTGATGGCTTACCCCATCAAACATCGCACCTCAACTCATTGACTTTGACACCACAATGTAACCCCTTCCCGGCGGAATTATCGCTTTTGATTTGGATATGTTGTATTTCATATCCACTACGGCCTACATGCAAAGTTTGAAGTCAATTGACTCCGTGGTTGATTAGACGTTCAACGTCTGAAACCAAATGGAATGTACGTCCAATCTGCCCTGCTCTGATTGGTCGGTTTTCTAACCCTGAATGGAATGGACGTCCATTCCACCCCCACCTGTTGGATAGGGATATCGCGTATACTGCGCTTACCTTGTTCCATAGGGCCGCCGCGTTGTCGGGTTGAATGGATCCCATGGTCAAACGGACAGAACCTACTAGGGATTGCAACATGCGACGGAAGAGAAGTTTTGAACGTATCACCCAATATCGCTGATCGAGCGATGATAAACCTTCAGGTGGTTCCTGTTGGTTCTTATTGAGAATATCTGCACCACCGATCACTTCTGCATCCGACAAGAACGCCATCTTCCACGTCTGGTAGTTGGTGCCATCGAACGTGGTGACGGACTTTGTGTTCAACGAGGCCTGCGCTTCCTTCTGGTATTCGCGAGCCAGCATGTTCGGATCTTCTTCTGGTATAGGGTTCGGAGGAGGTGGAGGTGGTGGAGGAGGTGGAGGAGGTGGCGGCGCGCGTGCTGATATCAGTCGCTCGCAGAGTGCAATGAGATCTGCTGCTGCCATGGTCACCATGCCGTTAGGATTCGGCGTAGGTATCGGCATAGGACTGGGCGTGCCATCCTCAGATTCCTCGCGTTCTGGCATCTTGCCAGTATCGCGTGCTGAGCCAGAGGTTGTCATATCTTCCTCTGCCATCGCGTATTCAGTTTGATCACCCTCCGCTTCTGAGCCGGATTCTTGCTCAGTAATAGGGGGGAAGGATTGGGGGACCCTTGATTGCGAACGTAGTGTCTTCTTACGTCCTGATAT